AGAGAGAGAGAGAGAGAGAAAGAAAATAGACTTTCGCTCTCGTTTAACTGAAGTGCACTATTTGTTTTGTTTCCTTATTTGATCAAATGTTTCGAACAAGTGAAATTAAGTGAACGTAAGAGCAACGAATGGTATATTTATAAGCCAACAGTCTTGGAAACAAAGAATAGTTGTTGGAGGTACTAATAGTCATCCATATCTCGTTTGGAAACTATAGAAATTTGTGAATTTCAACTTAGTCAACAACCATGAAGGAAGTCCTAATAGGCCCAGCCCCAGCCGTTAGATTTAATCTCATCCAACAAATGGGTGCTGTTCATTTTATTATTATGGGTTGATACATTGTTTGTTTAATGTACATTTTATAATTTTATCCCATCCACCCCTTGTTACCTTTCATCGTAGTCACAAATAAATTTCTTTTTGTTAATGTTGTTTTGGTTTACCATTGCTTGAACTAAAAAATGTTCTAGATATTTTTAATTACCATAAAAACCTACCTTGATACTTTTGTTTGTTTAATGTACATTTTATTATTTTATTGCATCCACCCCTTGTTATCTTTTATCGCAGTCACAAATAAATTTCTTTTTGTTAATGTTGTTTTGGCTTACCATTGCTTGAAATAAAAAATGTTCTAGATATTTTTAACTTTCATAAAAACTTACCTAGATACTTTTAAGAAGAGAAACTTGTTATGGTGATGAGAAGAATATTGTGAAATGGTGAACGAGTTAAGTCACTAGAAGCTTTAGAGACAAATGTAGCTAGAACTTTAGGGTTTTTTTTTGCTGCCAAGACAACCATAACAATAAAAATGATAAATGATCATTGGTGGTTAGTAATGAAGCAATACCAAAAATTTATCAGCTATGTTAAAGGCGAGTTGGGTGACTCTGGAAATTACTCTAGTAAGGCCATCCCCAATGAGGGCCTTTAGAGAGCCTTAACCACCATGGGTTTGCCACATATAGCTGGAACATGAATGGGCCCTAGCTGTTGCAAACTTGATGCAAAAGTTAGCATCATTGATCTACTCGCCCGCCCTTGCACCCTATTGGAAGGGTGTGAAGGAAACATGCATCTAATGCTTAGGAAATGAACTCTAGCCACATCCTATATAACAAAAACATTTTAAATGGTGAATTCATTTTATTTATATTAGTTGAGCTAAACCTTTTTCATTTTAAACCAAGTATCTTAGCCTAGTCTCTTTGAACACAAATAGAAAAGGGAATAAGAGAATAGATCTTTACCCTTGATGACATTTTCTTGATTTCTCAAGAATGAAAACCTTTGTTGGAAAGACCTTTTCTTTCTCTTGATTTTGACTCCTTCACCTTAAGGCTCCAAGATTGGAGTCCTCTACCTCACCACATCAAATGCTCCTAGAGATGAAGAGAAGGCAATCAAGAAGTATGGATGCTAGTCTACTTCTTGATTGGACCAATTTTTGGTTTATGGAAGATGAGATACAAAGATGATCACTCATCAACCAAAGTAGGAAACCAAAAACCCTAGCAAGGTTTTTTCCAACACTTAGCTTATATAGGACAATACAAAAAGCAATTGGGTGGGTATTTGGGGCTCCATTTGGTCCATGAGTCATGTCCTCATATGCCACTTATCCCTTGGGCCCAATAGCCTTTTTGGCTATTTTGTCCCTTTCCTTTTAAATCATATTTAAAAGCTCAATCTAATATTTCTATATGTCAGTTGAAACCTTTTAGGACATCCACAAACCATGGTTGTCGCCTAGCAGCAAGTTATGGTTATCCGAGCTAAATGAGACGTTGTGAAAGAACCTATTCAAATTGGAATGACCGTGCAATTGAATCCTTCTCTTATATCAATACTCCTTATTCACATTATTAGATCATGGAATCCGATTGCCAATATCCTAATGAGAATCATTCCTTTTTATATGATTATCCTGGTAAGATTTGAAGACTTCTTCTTTCAAGTCTTATCCACTACTCTGCGAGAGATTTGACTAATCATATGTTGGAGTATTCTCTCTCCTTTACTGAGAGTAGAGATTCTTTGTTGTACATTCATTTGCTTCCATGACTTTTATTGAGAATTCTGATGAGCACCTTTAAGGTGTGCCTAATTTAGCATGACCGTATAGTGCTCTCAAAGATTAATAACATAGCCACAAAACATCTATGATGTCTCAGGTATAAGGATTAGTTTGCACCATTGCAATTTATGAGTTCCAGCTTGACATGTGAGTAACGACTTCCATGCTATAACTCATGTGTTGGATCTTCTACAAGTGTACTTGTTCTTCTACAAGCACCTAGACACATATCGATGTGTCTCCACACTTAATAACTCGAGACCTTGCTATTCCCTACATATAAAGACGATACTGTGTGTATTGGTCTTTGAGGAATATGGACGCTCAATCAATATTCCTATGACCAGGAACATATTTAGGATTTAGGGATGATGAGAAGTCTTCGTGTATGCACTCTCATTACATAGGTCTCATATCCACTCGTGTATTCCTTGGACTATGGTTGTTTTACATATTAAAAGATAATATAGGATGATTTAATGTATAAAACAACCTTTCTTGCCCATTGATAACATAATATATTTTTTTTTGTAAAAAAAAAATCAAGGATTTCATTAACTCTAATTATTACATAATTAGTTGGCTTTAGGGGCATATTTCGAACAGGGTGGGTTTGCACTAAAACATACACATATGCTAGTTACTAGAACTAAAAGAGTTTGATCCGAGTGTGCTTCAAACTAGGTATGCATGTACGACATATCTACGAGACCACCAACTCTAGCGTCAACATACAAATGACTTAACTTGATTGACATTGTCTCTTCGTCATTGGACACCATGCGCGCCTTCAGCGAGTCTGTAGGGTAACCAAGTGGAACCCATATATCTATTGGGATGCCGTAAACATTGCCTTTATAAAAGGTAGGAATTGTTCCATCGATTACAAAAACCACAGGTTATCCTTTCTGAAACCTACCCCTAGTCATACCTAAGTATTAGAATTGAATGAGCAAATGGACATCATTGCTGATGATCATGGGCCTATATTGTTCGAGGTAAGGAATGTGGCCTTGAACTATTTTAGTAGTTGCATGCTCAATGAGCTTCATTGGAGGAATAAGTTTGTTTCCAACATGAGAGAGCAGAAAACAATTTTTACGAATGGTGGAAGAGCTAAGCAAAGGAGGAAGATAAGGTTGTTATGCTATGGTGAGAATATAGTGAAATGGTGAGAGATTTATGTCATTGGAAGTTCTAGAGGGATTCTTGAGAACTTTAGGAAGAGAGGCTTGTTATGGTAATAAGCAGAATATAGTGAAATGGTGAACGATTTATGTCGTTGTAAGCTCTAGACACCAAGGCAGGTAGATGGCCGATGAACTTTAGGATTTTTTTGCTACTAAGACATACGTAACAATTTAAATGATAAAGAGTGATTGGTGGGTAGTAATGAAGCAATATCAACTTTTTACGAACTTTGTTAAATGTGGATTGGGGACTCTTAAAATTACTTTAGTAAGGTCATCTCCAATAGGGGCCGTAAAAGGGCCTTAACCAGCATGGGATTGCTACAAATATAGCCTAATGCAAAAAATGCATCCCTCTAAAGCTTAGAGCCCAACCGTAGCTAGCTGGATATATGAAGACCTTCAAAGTGAAAATCCTAGAAAAGAATTGGAGTGATGTGGTGTTAGCAAAAAGTTATTTTAGAATGTGTTTAGAGTTCAAATGTGCATAATAAGTTTTGTAGCTTTGAGAATTGTCAAATAAGCTTATGTATAGAATTAGATAATCAATTCTCGTTGACTGACCTACGTGAATTTCTCCTTTTGCTCCTTAGTTTATAGGGAATTAGCAATCAATCATTGTTCCCTTCCGAAAGAGCATGTTCTTACACGTTACTTGATATGTTAGTAAAAGGATAGTTTCTCCTAACGAGATTGTCCCCAAATTTATTTAAGAAGGTACCAAAAGATATCAAATACACACTTGTTCGCGATCCTTGTATTTTCTTGTTATAAATTTTAAACATGCACGTACAACACAAATTGTTTCTTTTGATGGGGGTGCATATAGATAGCACATAGCAATTCACATAGAATTGGAAGTCTTGTCTTCTTGGTCTTGGAGTAGGAGAAGTGCGAGCTCACGTGCTCCCGCACGTGCCATCCATATTGATAGTCCATAGTCCAAACAACCGATAGTTTTGTTCTGCAACACCCAGCTGCAATCAGGCATCACTGTCCAATAAAACCTTTTACCCTAACGCCCCCCACCCCCCCTCTCTACAGAACATGGCCACCGCCCAGCCCACCGAGAACGGCTCCGCCAAGGCTACGGAACCCGACCCGCAACAACCCACATCCGAAACCACCACCGCCCCAATTACCGTACCCGAGTCCGACCAAACAGCCACCACCGCAACGGCAGATAACAGTCCGAACCAAAATCCCGAACCCGACTCGGGTCCCCAACCGGAGCCCGGTGCCCAGGAAACTACAACGACCGCTAGCGGCGATGCCACCTCAATCGCCGATAAAAGATGGCCTGGTTGGCCCGGGGACTGTGTGTTTCGGCTAATTGTGCCGGTTCTCAAGGTCGGTAGCATTATCGGCCGAAAAGGCGAGCTCATTAAGAAGATGTGTGAGGAGACCCGAGCTCGCATTCGGGTCCTCGACGGCGCCGTTGGAACTCCTGATCGCATCGTGAGTTGTGCCTGTTTTCTCTCTCTGTCTAGGGTTTACTCGTTTTGGTTCTTCTTGTTGTGTATTCTGAAACGTGCTCTCTTTTGCTGTTGTTGTTTTGAGCTCTAGGGTTTGTGCTTTTTAGCTTCCGTTGGTGCTAGAAATTGTGCTGTCGTCTGTGTAATTGTGGCTTTATGGTTATTTAGGGATTCTAGTTATGCTTCGGGGTTGCTAAAAGTGTTTGAGGAGATTAAAAATTGAAAATTTAAGTTTAAATCATGCAAATTCAATAGTATTTGTGTCATGAGGTAATAGAAACCGCTAAAGTCTAGTGCCTAGTATTTGGTTCTTAGGTGCTTAGGTGCTTAGGTTTTGTTGCTTACAAAATGCTATGAAAGGAATGGTCTTTTGGGAGTGGGGGTTTAAGTTTTGGTTTTTGGTTCTAAAAGACACCCCAAACAATCTGAAATCTGAGAATGGGGCTTAATTAGTATTGCGTATTCTGCTATTTGAAGATGATCCTTTCTCATAGTTTTATTCGAACACTCAATCTATTAGCAACGGGCGTAGGATGAGTAACTGTCTCGATTTTTTTTTTCTTTCAATAAACATCTAGTCTCTGATATCTGAGAATGAGACAATCTGTATCTGGCATTCTGCTATGTGAAGATGACCCATGTTTGAAAAATCCTTTGGATCTGTTTCATAGGCTTATAATGGGCATAAGACAAGTAACTGCCGTGAATATTTATTAAGATCTGGTTATACAATCTCAAATCTGAGAATAAGACTTCTTGAGTATTCTGCTAAGTGAAGATGACCCATTGTCAGCAAAATCCTTTGTATCCCTCTCATAGTTTTATTCAAACATTCAATTTGTTAGTAATGGGCATAAGATGAGTAACAGTCTTAAATTTTTATGAACATCTTGTTATAAAACACTGATTGAAGTGTTGGAACTTCGTTAATTTTTAGTCATGTTTAATGAATTATGCCTGTGGAGATTCGTTAATTTCTGTTGTATTAGTGTTGGATATGTTGTTCAAACTTCACTAGTACTCCATTCGGAGTAGAAGGTGTTTCTTTAATAGGAAACAAAATTTCACTAAGAAAGAGAAAGTACAAAAACAATGGACAAAGTGTCCACAGTAGCAAAGAACAAGAGAGCTCTAAAAAAACACCAAAAACTTTAAAAACAAAAGCGATCCAAGAATAAAAGCCCCCATAAACAGCTGCATATTTTTCAAAAAAATTGCACAGAAAGCAAACAGGGGGATTGAAGTTTCCTTTGCTTTCATTGCTTTCATGTTCTGCTTCTAATGTGACACAGTCCTCCAACCATTCCACACATGCATACCCCTTCAACCAGACATTATGTCTACAATTATCCCTTCACTAGACACGTGTCTACGGTGATACCATTCTATGCTAAAATCTTTCTAACACACTTTTCTTTTTAGGTGCTGATCTCCGGAAGGGAAGAGCCAGAGGCTCCTCTGTCCCCTGCAATGGATGCTGTAATAAGAATATTTAAACGTATCTCTGGCTTAGCTGATAGTGAGGGTGATGCAAAAGTGTCCGGTCCTGCTGGAGTTGCATTCTGTTCCATCCGCTTGTTGGTAGCATCCACACAAGCAATTAATTTAATTGGAAAACAAGGGTCATTAATCAAATCTATACAGGAGAGTACCGGGGCTTCTGTGCGAGTATTGTCTGGGGGTATGCTCTCATTGTTGCATAATACAACTTTTCTCTATTCAGTAGAATATCAATGGTTGGAAATATCTCCATCATCTTATCACCTTTTTCCCGATGCAAAGTATAATGTGTTTGTTGCTGTTTATGTGGTTTATAATGAAATTAAGTTCTCGTGTGTGGGTTTTCCTTTCCAGTTACTTTTATGATCTTACTTTTGGAGGCTTAGATTTTCTATTGGTAATCTAGGTTTAATGATCAAGCTAGTGAAGATAATTGTATTGATGTGCTTAATATAGTGTGTAATTTAGCTATCTCTTTCCTTTCTGGCATCTGAGTTCTAGGTCAGTTTTCCATGTTAGAGTCCTTTAACTTCGGAATGTATGATGGGTATGCAAAATATGTGATTCTAAATCACAGTATGTCTTCGTATCATGTTATGCAGCCACTCTTAAAATATTTGATATAGCTGTTACTTTGAAATACAAGCCTTGATTATATTCGTTATCCCTTTTAGAAATGCTCTACTCATCCTTCTTCAATCAGTGTATTCAGATTCTTTATAATTTGATGCGACTAATGTCTCTGTCCCTTTTTTCCTGTATTCACATTCGTTTTCTTTCTCAAGTGGCCTTACCTCTTTCCATTCTATAAACCTTTCTTCTTTCTCCAAAAAAGGCATCTGATACTTATTTTTGTTCTTGCAGATGAGGTTCCATTCTATGCTGCTGCAGACGAAAGGATTGTTGAATTGCAGGGAGAAGCTTTAAAGGTTCTCAAAGCTGTAGAAGCAGTAGTGGCTCACCTGAGGAAGTTTTTGGTTGATCATAGTGTTCTTCCACTTTTTGAGAAGACGGTAAGCTTAATTCCCATTCGTGTCTGGTGTAATTTTATTTCTTTGCATTGCTATGTATTGATTATTGGAACGTGCATCTTTAGTACAATGCAACCATCTCACAAGAGCGTCAACCAGATACCTGGGCTGACAAATCGTTGCTGCATACTGCTTCTCAAACTGGAGTTAGCACTAATTATTCTCTCTCAGCAAAAAGGGAATCTTTGTTTCTGGATCGTGAAACTCAATTAGAATCACAACTCCCTTCCGCTGGCATTTCACTTTATGGAAAAGATCCTTCTATCTATGGAAAAGATCATTCTATTTATGGAAAAGATCCATCTATTTATGGGCAAGATCCTTCTATTTATGGACAAGATCCTTCTCTTTCTTCTATCCGTTCTTCAGGGATTGGTCGGCCTGGTGCTCCTATTGTTACTCAGGTTGGTTGTTCTAACTTTTTCATATTTTTAGCTGAACTTCCTACCTAATGAGCTCATTTGGGTTTTCACATGCATGCTCAACACACAAAGGCAGTCTAGCTTGGTTGTAACTTGTAATTAAAATAAATGGGGCCAAGTGTGTTTTTTGCTTTGCTAGAAGGATGGCAGGGGATCCGTTACCATCTAGTCCTTGACTTAATTTACTTATAAACAGTAGGAATGTATACAGTTTGTTTAAGACTCTGAATAACTAAGGTTTTATGTCTTACCGACTGACTCGTCTATTTGAGAAATAAATTGTCTTGATGTATGACATATTGTGAAGATTTGTTGTCAATTGGAAACCTGAAGTGTAACAGATTGCATCAGGCCTGTGTTACGTACGTCAGTTTCTGCATGTATACTCTGATTGTTCTTGAAAACAAATTAGAGTGCAATATTCTGCTTCATATTGTTGTACTTTCTTTCTCTATTTATAGTTTTGGTAACAATATTTTCTCTGTTGCATTCTATAATCAGATTGCTCAAACAATGCAAATTCCTCTATCTTATGCCGAGGACATTATTGGGGTTGAAGGTTCGAATATTGCATTCATTCGCCGTAGTAGCGGAGCCATCTTAACTGTGCAAGAGAGCAGGGGACTACCTGATGAAATTACCGTAGAAATAAAAGGCACCTCATCACAGGTTCAAATGGCTCAGCAACTGATTCAGGTACGCTTACCAATGATCTTTCTTTTCCATTTATATATAGTAAAAGGAGGGATTAACAAATTTTTAAATTTATTTTATATAAAATTTCTGTTACATCACTTTGAGATAATTAAAGATGAAAGTTACATTTACCAAAAAAATAAAAAAATTATGAAGGCTTATATAACTACGATGTTTTAGTTATAGAAGGTGGGTGGTTTCCTGGTTTATATGTAAATTTCCCATTAGAAAAAAGTTTGCATATATTTGGCAAGCAAGCAAAAATGAAAAACTTGTGACTTCAATAGGGAAAAAGTGGAACCCCTGCTTGGAAAGTTTAAGCATGCTGGTTTTTTTTTTTTTCTTCTTTATTTTCAGGAAGTTATAAACAGTCGCAAGGAACCAGTTACAAGTAGCTATGGCAGGATAGATACGGGAATGAGGTCATCCTACAGTCAGTTAGGTGCTTCATCTTACCCTTCATCTTCATTACCGTCACAACCGTACGGTGGTGGGTATGGATCTTCTGGTCTAGGAGGAGGCTACAGCACTTTCAGGCTTTGATTTGATTGCTAACCAAAAGACTAATAGTGGCTTCTCTGCTTGGACCAACAAGTTATTTCCAATTAGTCCACATATTTGAGAAAAAATTGATGTCCGGAGTGTAGCATTTGTAAAGTTGCCAGAGGAAAGGGGTCTACAATATCATCTGATATCATCAGATTTGATCTGTTGGGTAGCCAAGCTTGAAAGGATATAGAAGAAGATTGTATTGAAATAGTAGTGATTTTCGTTTTCCTTCATGAATTTGTGCATTAAGCATTAATTTTGAAGTTAGATGAGGCTGTTGCATTTGGTTTTTTTATATTTATACTCTGTTAATTTTCTCAAACTTTGATGTGCAATAGTTTTGCTTTTCTTTAACTCTTGAATTTGTTTGTTACAATCGCAAAACTGATCCTTTCACCCAAATGCCCCCTTTTCATTCCCACAAATTTATCATCGCATAAGAAGAGATGTTAATCATTATCAAGAGAAAGAATTGAAGCATGCTGTTTCTACGAGAAGATGGTTTATAAAGATACTGATGTTAATGTTCTAAAGCATGTTTAGCAAAAGGGGAATGATCGCTACTAGCATAACATGCGTCATCTTGTTCTGTATATGCCAATGGCCATATGGTCTAGTGTCATTCCGTCTTCGTTTTACTAATTCCAAAATTCAAATCTTAGTAACATTCAGTCTTTATTTTGCTAGGTCCTAACCTAAATTCAAATCTTATAAACGATAGTTTGATTGTCGAAACAAGAAGATAAAGAAACATGTAATAACAATCATCCGATCGAGCTAAATTTGAACATTCGGTATTGTACTAAAATGTCTACTCAGAGTCATCCAATAATTTGACTCAATAACATAATCACACTTTGATACATATGTATAAATTATTATTATTTTCAATAATTTTTTTTTTTTTTTTCGGTTGGTTACATTGGAGGAAAGAAACCCCACTGGCGTTCGATCCTGGGTGCCATGGGGGAAGGGGGAATCCACCACCACTGTGGTGGGAACCCATTGGCTTATTTTCAATAATTTCAATATACGCGTCAAGTTTGATTTGCATGTGAGGAGGGATGAGCCCAACAAAGTTCAGGTTATTTATTTAGATTTGAGTGAAGTATGTGACTTATTTGGAAGGTCCTAGTTCAGCGGCACTTGGAGTTGAAATGAGAAGACAACATTCCTTGTCAAGTTGTCATACAACAAGACGATATAAACGGGCGTTATCTACAACCTTCTCTTTTTGAAACCACTCATCCTGGCATTCTAGGAAAGGAGAAAGGCCTTGTTCAAATCACCTGCTCTCAAATTCGACAGAAAAAAGAAATGCCGACGTTGAATTTGTTCACAAATCTGCCAGTGGATGCAGTGGTGGCCTCTGACATTCTCAAGGACGCCACCAAAGCCGTTTCTAAAATCATTGGCAAACCCGAGTCTGTTAAGTCTCTCCCTTTTCCCTCTTCTTGTCATCGTTTTGTTGATGTATTTGGTATGAACATAAACTGTTCGATGAAAATACTCAATGAAATAGTAAACTTTATCAATATGGTATTAGTGGCTTGCATTCTAAATTACATATTCACTTTGTTTTTTGGTTTCATATTCTTCAGTATGTGATGATTTTGCTGAACGGGTCAGTGCCTATGGCATTTGCGGGCACGGAAGAACCGGCAGCCTACGGAGAATTAATCTCCATTGGGGGCATTGGACCGAGTGTTAATGGAAAACTGAGTTCAACTATTGCAGAAATTCTGGAAACCAAGCTTTCCATCGATAGCTCCCGCTTCTATATCAAATTTTATGACGTTGAGGTGAGCCCAATTACTTGTTTGTTACATTAGATTGCCTAAATTTTGCAGCTTCAATCTACTTGTCGTATACTAGAAATGTAGAATATTACTCTTCATATTGCATAAAGCATAAATTACTTTTATCTGGCCTTCCAAGTATTACCCTTTTCTGTGGTACTTCTAGTTCTAGTGGTAGAGCACTTTATCTCCAAACCCGCGAGAACAGTTTGATTATTGTCCTAACCAGTGGTAGAATTAGCTTCCATTTCTTGGGAAGGAACAGAACAATACAGATCTATTGCTTGGGAAGTCAATGATATAGATTTTTCTATATTTTTCAAACAATTAAAGAAGCTTAATATAAATTTTGCATGAAATGCTAGAGTTTAGAAGGGTCACGGCCACTTCGGGCTGAAGTGTGGCTCCTCCCTTGGAGCTAACCCCCCTGTGCACTAACGGGGTGCGGAGATGCCATTTCTCTCAAAGTCCATTCACAACATTTCTCTAAGAAGCTTGGTTTGTCACAAAGCCACCAGCCTGCAAGACGGACCAACTCTAAGAAGCTTCTACCAAATAACTCATTCTATTCTAGTCTTTTGTCGTAGTGAACTCCTGTAGCAAGTATCCACTGAACCTATTGTATCTTCACCTCTCATTGATTTGCAAATTGGTCATAGCTAAAGTAGTTAAAGTTAGTTAAATCACTTTTCACAGAAATTGATGCTTTTATTAGCTCGTAACTTAATTCTTGTAAGCAAGCCTCTGTCATTTGAGAGATTATCGTTTGAGCATGATGTTATTAGTCAGATATGGGTGGTATATTTAAACCGATAATTCAATTAAAATGAATATTTATCTAATGTTGAAATGCTATTTGTAGCAATAATATGTTCATCAACTACTAACTAGTTTGTATAATCATCCCTTTCTGCTCCAGCGGCCCTTCTTTGGGTTTAACGGCTCAACATTTTGATCACCACTGTTCTTGGCTAATGTTTCTATGAAGTGTAGAAGGTGAGGCTGGCTAATGGCTTCTTCTCTCCCTCAGTTGTAATTTTCTTTTACGTAAAAAGAAAACTCTTTAGTCTGTATTCTCTGATGAAATTTGAACTGTTATTTAGATCAGAAATAGCCAGTTGTGTATTATGCCATACATGAAATTTAAACTGATTAAACCGTGATATAGAAGTTAGATGGTGCTTATATGTTATGAGCTCAAGGCTTTGCATTTTAGTAGTGGTCTAAAATTCTCAAGGCTTTTTGCTTTTAGCAGTCGTCTGTAGTTCTCTTTTACTTATTTTATTTATGGCAAGGAGCCATATGGTCCTGGTTAGTGGAGGCGAACCAATCTGGTTCCTCCTCCATTCCAGATCACTGTTGGAGATGGCATGGGCAAAATGAGTTAAATTTGTGAGCTGCTGTAGGGACAAAACTAAAAGGAAATAAATTGAAACCGGCACAGAAGAGAATGTATTTCTTCAACAAGCCCACCCAACAGCCAAGCAGTCATCATGTTGGAGAAGCTGCACCACCTCTTGAACACACCTTGAAAGGCCAAGGTCAATATCCCCAACTTCATCGTCAGATCGCCATGGCTAACGATTTTCTTGTCAGAGTTGTCGGAATTGGGCAAAGTTAGACATGAAAGTGAGGTTTTAGGATGATAAACGAGGCAAAATAAGTTTTGGGATGCAAAGTGAGACGCATTGTTTGTGGGCATGAGCATAATCAAGTCTATTTACATTATGTAATATGGGCTTTGATATATGAAGAAATGTGTACATATTAATTTTAATCTATTCGCGGTAAAGACTACTTTTTATAAAAAAAAATTATCAACAAGTGTCTTCTTGAGATTGGAACACATAACTTTCCTCAATGAATGTAAACTACTAGACTAAATTATACTCTTCGCACACTTTTTAACTTGTCAAACTTTTGTTTGTGTAATTGGACAACTTGCAATACTTTTTTTTTTTTTTTGGTCTGAACCATGAGGTGGTCCTGAATGGGCCTCAACTATGAGTGGCACCTTTAAGCCTTAACCACAACCCAGACTAATCCCCACTCACACCGGGTCAACCCGTAAGGGGTAAAGTGTTGGCCAAAGTGGTGACTCCGTACGAGAGCATGGATCGAACCCCTGACCTCTCTTAAGGAATGAGAGTGCCGAACCACTCACACCAATACTTTTAGTAAAGGAAGAACAACAAACTTATATATATATATATATATATATATATATATATATATATATATATATATATATATATATATATATATATATATATATATATATATATATATATATATATATATATATATATATATATATATATATATATATATATATATATATATATATATATATATATATATATATATATATATATATATGGGACGGTATTGCCATACCCAACCTTGAACCCGTCTTGTACGCACACACATAGGGCTCGTTTGGTATGTCGGACTGTACTGACTAATTTCTATCGGATAATATTAATCTGTTCCGGAGAGTACTGACTGTTTATCCATAATATTATAAGGCGTTTGGTGCTGTTCCGGATAACTAGTCTGACTAAGTTATACTTTGTTTGGCGATGTTCCGGATAACATCATATCAGACTATTTTTTTAATTGACTAGATTGTTCACTCTCCATTCCTATAGCCAATATAGACAATATAATTTGCATATATATATAATTAAGAAGAAAAAAAGTTGGAAGATCAAATAAAATATCTATAGTCTGGAGGATATTTCTACATACGCATAGTTATAAAAAAGCACAGCTCTCATGCCTCGTCTGCCTTAAACAATTCTGTGTTCTTTTAAGCAGTAGCCATGGCAGCCCTATTCGCGAAACCTGTTAGGCTTTTTCTTACTAATTTTGTTATTTTCTTAAATTTGTTATGCTTAAATTCGATTAAAAAAATGTCAAAATAGAAAAATTCATAACCTGATTCCACAAAAATTTAATAAAAAATGAAATATATTAAGAATAGAGAAGAAGCAAGAAGAAGCATATTGGAGAGAGTATGAAAGAGAGAGAGAGTGAGAGATGGATACCTGAAGAAGAGTGAAGAGAATAACCTGTGGAGAAAATAGCAGAGAAGAACCCTAGGGAGAAGAAGATGAAAAGAGCGTCTGATTTTTCTCGTAGAAAGCGTGTTCTTTTTCCCTAGCCGTATAATTAAGCGTGTATTATCTAAACCGGGGTGTGTGGGTTGTATTAATTAGTCAGGTAAGGAGAGTATTAAATGCCCAACCCGTATAAAATAGTCAGGTAATTAAATAATACAAGTTGACACCAAACACCTGACATAGACTATTTACTCCTATCCAGAGTTTAATAGGTGTACCAAACAAGCCCTAGACACATACATGGCGGTTCTTTTGTTGTCAACTTGTTATATAAGACCCAAAGTTCAAACTCATAACAGAAGAGTACCAAACAAGCTTCAAAATGAGTGAGGAGACCAAGTTCAGCGTCCTATGCAGCCTCTTCAACTGGATGCAAAGAAGCAAAACCTCAACCCTAAAGCGCTCCAAATTCCGCAAATTTCTCGACACTTTCTGTAAACCTGCTGATTATTTCGATTCGATTCGCCTAATTCTTCCCAGCCTCGACCGCGAGCGCGGCAGCTATGGCCTTAAGGAGTCTGTGCTCGCCACCTGCCTCATTGACGCTCTCGGCATGGCCAGAGACTCCGAGGACGCTCTTCGCCTCATCAATTGGCGCAAGGGCGGCGCCAAGACTGGTGTCAATGCCGGCAACTTCTCGCTCGTGGCCGCCGAGGTACGCTTTTTGGCTTTTGGTTTTTGTTATTTGTTGTTTGATTTTTTCTGGGCTTGTTTTGGTTTTGTGGAATTTGGGAGTTTTTGGTATCTGGGTCAGTGAAAGTTTGTATTTTTGTGTTTGGAATTTGGCGGGGTATGCTTTTCTAAGCTTCTGAATTTTGTGTGCTTATAATGGTTTGTTGTAAATAAGAGTTCACTTGAATGGATTAGAAGAAATGAAACCAACCAATTTTTTTGAGGATTGATAATCACTTTTCCACACTAATGAAACATGAGACTGGGCCCTAACAACTCATTTGAAATGAATTACAAAAATGATTTTTGAAACGACTTAGTTGCAGTAAATTGTTATCAGTTGATTTTGGACATTAGTGATTCAAAGTCCTCTGGTCTAGTATAGATGCTTTTACTGTATGATTCCTTCGGTTTTATATGTTTATAACTGTTTGGCATTTGTTACTTGTGAACCAGGTGCTGCAACGTAGACAAGGAGTGAGTTCAGGTGGATTAACAATCAAGGAGTTAAATGACTTGCTTGATCGTTTAGCTTCAAGTGAAAATAGGTATATTACTGTAGTTTTCATTTCCTAATTCCTAAAAGGAGCTTGTAAATGCTTAACATCGATTATGAGGCATATTTTAATCAAGTTTTCATTGATATATGCTAAACACAAATCTAGAATTGGCTTTTTCTTCTTCCATTTCCTCCCTCTCTCTCTCTCTCTCTCTCTCTCTCTCTCTCTCTCTCTCTCTCTCTCTCTCACATATATATGTACGTGTGTGTGTACTCTTTGTTTTCAATAATGGTAAAAAATATGCCTCTGAGATAGTAAGTTAGGTTTGGGCAGTGATTGACATCCCTTGACAAACAGAACTTGGTTAACTATGAAATCCTTGTGTATCAAATATTTTTTATGAAAAGTTCTTGTTTGATCTAGATTAGAAATTGGGTTTACTTATTTGCTGTCATGAGGGTTGGCAAACTCAAGTGCACCATGGGAGCTCTAGCCTAATTATACCAGAAAGTCTCTGCCTTGCTTGTGAACATGATTCTCTACGCTGCCACCTTCTTTCTTTTGTCACCCTCACTTTTCTGTGTAGAAGGTCTAAGCTGGTGATGTCGTCTAATGTAACTTGTTATTTTAACTTTTACTAGAAAACATTAGTATAATTTATTTAGGTACTGTTTCTGTTGAGCTTAAGTTAAATAGCCTACTGGGGCAAATAAGTTAGGCCCTCTAGATTGAACCTAAGTGTAAATGTTTAAGTATATTTCTTCCACACTTATTTAGCTCCTTCTCAGTAATCTTTCTTGAAATTTTGTTTGAAGTGTTAATTTAAATTGCTTATATAATATATCTTCCCTGCGTGCTTTAAGTTTATTGTATGAAAACATTGTTTGGCTCTCAAGTCTGTTTATAACACCTAAAATGACACAAGGATGTCAACAGGGCAGAGAAGACTTCAGTTCTGTCTACGTTGATAAAGAAGACAAATGCACAGGAAATGAAGTGGATTGTCATGATTATTCTTAAAGGTGTTGTCTACTAAGGTCATGATATGAATTTTTTAATATCCATTCTGTTAAGCTTCAATTTTTCATGTTTTTATATCTCCTGTAGATCTGAAGCTGGGAACTAGTGAAAAGAGCATTTTTCATGAATTTCATCCAGATGCTGAAGACTTGTTTAATGTCACATGTGACTTGAAATTGGTTTGTGAAAAGCTGAGGGATAGAAATCAGCGTCATAAACGCCAGGTCTCTCATTAAGTCTGAAACAATTTTGTATATCTCTTTAATAATTTTATGGTGTAGCAACATTAATATGGTATTTTCCTAAAATTTACTACTCACTAATTGAAGCTACTACAGGGAAAATTATTTTAAGGTATTGTTGCATGCCAAAGATATGAAAACCTTTGGTCATTTTGGTGATTTGTTTGTGAAGAACATATCTTAAGAACTCGTTTATACAAAGAGCTCTTCTTGAAGTTAATGATCTCAAAATTGCAGTACCTACTAGAGAAGATTTGGTATTCTGGTGTATTGTGTGTGTTTTTAATTTTTTTTAAATTCTAAATTTGCTTATATGTGTGTAAACTACATAGCTTCTGAATTGATGACACTACATTGCATCAATTGCAGGACATTGAAGTTGGAAAAGCTGTACGCCCACAACTAGCTATGAGAGTTGGTGATGCAACTATTGCATGGAAAAAGGTTTTATATAGTAGATAGATACACAACTTATTCACACATATATGTTTGGTGATGCTATTTCATATGTCTAACTCCATTAATATCTCTCTTAATTTCTTTCCCCACATTCTCAGCTTCATGGTAAGGAAGTGTTGGTTGAGTGTAAATTTGATGGGGATCGCATCCAAATTCATAAGAACGGAACTGAAATACATTACTTCTCAAGGTAGAGG